GACATAGACTTGTAGTGCAGCATGCTTCTTGCCTTCTCCATGATGGTACGGTTCATGCGTTCCACCACTCCATTCTGCTGAGGGCTGTATGGAACGCTACGCTGATGCACGATACCGTTCCGTTTGCATAGTTCCAAAACTGTCTTGTTCACGAACTCCGTTCCATTATCGGAACGAAGACATTTTAGACGTTCCCCCCACTGGGTTTCGTACAATGCCTTGAACTCCTTCAGTTTGCTGCCCACCTCGCTCTTGCTCTTCATAAAGTACGCAACGACAAACCTTGAGTAGTCGTCTACGAACGTCAGAACAGATTTGGCACCACCCTTTGAGATCGTTCTCATTGGGCCCATTACGTCCGTGTGTACTAGTTCCAACACACGCGTCGTTCTCGTTAGCGATCGTGACGGGAACGTCGTCACGGTCTGCTTTCCCTTCATACATCCACCGCACAAAGTCTCTACTGGAACGTTCCAAAATATGACGACGACCAAGCGCGCCGAAGTCCTCCTAGGGAGTGGGAACTACTTCCACTGGGAGTACAATATGCGCATGACGCTAGCCAGGAAGGGCCTGCTTGCGCATATTCAAGCCGTCAAGCCGGAGAACGAGATCACCGAGGCGTGGCTCGTCAATGATGCCAAGGCGCTCGGCATCATCGCTCAGGGAGTGAAACTCCAGCATCAGACCAAGATTCGGTCGGCCACTCGTTCCATAGAAGCTTGGGGAACGCTGCGAGAGTTCTATAACCGCACCACGCTCCACAACCGCGTGACGATGACGCGTCGCCTCCACGAGTTCAAGATGGAAAGTGGATCGACTATGGCAAAGCATCTGGATGCGTTTGATGAGCTGATCGTCGGGTTGCAGACGCTAGGAGAGCCCATGGACGAGGCACGCCAGCTGGTGGTGCTGCTGAGCAGCCTCCCCGATGAGTACGAGCTCATTTCGTCTATCGTGGAGAACGCCAAGGGTGTGACGCTCATCGAGGCCAAGGAAAAGCTGTTGAAGGAGTACGAGCGACTCGAGAAGAAGGAAACCATGGAGAAGGCGTTCCAAGTGAATGGGAACGCAGGCAAGTTCCGGAACGGCCGAGGGAACGGTCAAAAATGGAACGATCGAAAATGGAACGGTCCGAAACGGAACGTAGGTTTCAAGGGCCAGTGTTTCACTGTGACCAAGTGGGTCACATG